CGAAGTTCCCTGAATGGGAACGTCTCTGGTTACGTATGTAACCCTAGTTTCCTGAAGGGAACGAGACGCTGCGTGTCTATGCCATACTCCCAGCATGCCCGTGAGCGCTTGCTTCAGTCCTATCAGAAGCTGTTGCGCTTGTGTTTCGGGGATGCTTTATAGTTTCCTGGTTGATACGTCACCCCGCCTATGACGTTCCGTCTCGCCATTGGACAGATTTCATACGTGCTTCATGACTCGTCACGCAGAGGCGTTCCCACGGCGTTTACACGCAGCGTCTCGTTCCCTTCAGGGAACTAGGGTTACATACGTAACCAGAGACGTTCATCCCAAAGATGGGGTTGAGGTCAGGGCTCTGTGCTTCTCCACCAAACTCATGCGACCATGTCTTTATGGATCTTGCTTTGTGCACTGGGTCACAGACATGCTGGAATACAAAAGGACCTCCCCAATTTGTTCCCACAAAGTTGAAAGCATAGCATTGACCAAAACGTCTTGGTATGCTCACTTGAAGCATTATATTTTCCCTTTACTGGAAGTAAAGGGCCAAGCCAAACCCCTGAAAACCAGCCACATTCCAGTATCCCTCCTTTTTTTTGGCATAATGATGTCAGGCAGGTAAGGTTCTCCTGGTATCCGCAAAACCAAGACTCATCCATCAGACGGAAATAGAGAAGTGTGATTCATCACCTCACAGAACACATTTCCACTGCTCCAGAGTCCAGTGGCTACTTGCTTATACCACTCCATCTGACACTTGGATTGTACTTGCTGCATGCATCAGTGAGGCTGCCCAGCCATGGAAACCCATTTAATAAAGCTCCTGCCGTACAGTTTTTGTGCTGATATTAGGCCCAGTGGAAGTTTGGAACTCTTCAGCTATGGAATCAGCAGTGTTGGCACTTTTACACACCATGCGCCTCAGCACTGACCGTACTTTATGTGGTCTTCTGCTTCGTTAATACTGTTCCTAAACTCTTCCACAAACTGACTTATTGCAAAGGTGGCATCCTATCACAGTACCACGCTTAAATTCACTGAGCTATTCAGAGCAAACCATTTTTTTTCTAATGTTTACAAATGTTTGTAAAATTCAGGCCCTGTTTACACGAAAACGCTCGCGGGTGAAAACGTAAAAATATTTTATCGGATGTGCCTTCTGTTTACACGGCGACGGTGTTTTTGAGGCTTAAAAACCACCCTCCAGAGTGGAAAAATCTTAAAAACACTCCACCGCCGCATTCCCGTGACGCATTCCCAAAATTCTGCTCGACAGTGAAGGTTGTACGCAGGCGCGGGGACTTGGTGTTGCTGTAGTATGCACTCCTAGCCGCCTGGAGCGCATACTACATTGAATTTCACAATCATCACCATTTGCACGCGAATTTCCCACACAAAACGCTCGTCTAAACGCCGAATAAAAAGTGATATCGCAAAGCCACTGTTGCGTTTTTTCTTCAGAATCATTTCCGTGTAAACATAGCCTCAGACTGCATGGCAAGGTGCTTGATTTTATACACCTGTGGCAGCAATGGATTTGATTGAAACACCTGAATTAAGGGGAAAATAAGTTGATTTTAAATTTCATGGCATCAACACATCTCAAAAAAGTTGGGACAAGGCCATTTTTACCACTGTGTGGCATCCCCTCTTCTTTTAATAACAGTCTGCAAACGTCTGGGGACTGAGGAGACAAGTTGCTCAAGGTTAGGAATAGGAATGTTGTCCCATTCTTGTCTAATAAAGGCTTCTAGCTGCTCAACTGTCTTAGGTCTTCTTTGTTGCATCTTCCTCTTTATGATGCGCCAAATGTTTTCTATGGGTGAAAGATCTGGACTGCAGGCTGGCCATTTCAGTACCCGGATCCTTCTTCTACGCAGCCATGATGTTGTAATTGATGCAGTATGTGGTTTGGCATTGTCTTGTTGGAAAATACAAGGTCTTCCCTGAAAGAGACGATGTCTGGATGGGAGCATGTTGTTCTAGAACTTGGATATACCTTTCAGCATTGATGGTGCCTTTCCAGATGTGTAAGCTGCCCATGCCACACGCACTCATGCAACCCCATACCATCAGAGATGCAGGCTTCTGAACTGAGCGCTGATAACAACTTGGGTTGTCCTTGTCCTCTTTAGTCCGGATGACATGGCGTCCCAGTTTTCCAAAAAGAACTTCAAATTTTGATTCGTCTGACCACAGAACAGTTTTCCACTTTGCTAGAGTCCACTTTAAATGAGCCTTGGCCCAGAGAAAACGCCTGCGCTTCTGGTTCCCGTTTAGATATGGCTTCTTTTTTGACCTATAGAGCTTTAGCCGGCAACGGTGAATGGCACGGTGGATTGTGTTCACTGACAATGTTTTCTGGAAGTATTCTTGAGTCCATGTTGCGATTTCCATTACAGTAGCATTCCTGTGTGTGATGCAGTGCCGTCTAAGGGCCCGAAGATCACGGGCATTCAGTATGGTTTTCCGGCCTTGACCCTTATGCACAGAGATTGTTCCAGATTCTCTGAATCTTTGGATGATATTATGCACTGTAGATGATGATAACTTTGCAATTTTTCTCTGAGAAACTCCTTTCTGATATTGCTCCACTATTTTTTGCCTCAGCATTGGGGGAATTGGTGATCCTCTGCCCATCTTGACTTCTGAGAGACACTGCCACTCTGAGAGGCTCTTTTTATACCCAATCATGTTGCCAATTGACCTAATAAGTTGCAAATTGGTCCTCCAGCAGTTCCTTATATGTACATTTAACTTTTCTGGCCTCTTATTGCTACCTGTCCCAACTTTTTTGGAATTTGTAGCTCTCATGAAATCCAAAAGGAGCCAATATTTGGCATGGCAATTCAAAATGTCTCACTTTCAACATTTGATATGTCATCTATGTTGTATTCTAAATATAATATTGAAATTTGAAACTTCCACATCATTGCATTCTGTTTTTATTCACAATTTGACAGTGTCCCAACTTTTATGGAATTGGGTTTGTATTTTAATGATAAACATGAAGATACAGTTTATTACTGTTGTAAATTACAATTGTCCTTTAACCCTCAGGTGCTCTTCGTTTCGGAGTCACACTTGTTATCTTCCCGGTCAAAAGTGACCGGACACCTACAAATGAAACTTTCTCCATCCCAGTAAAACCAATGCAATTTATTTTTGTTCTATATTATTTATTCTTTTTAATTTAGTATTTTGAGACAATTTAATTGAATTTATTAATATTTATGCAATATTTATGGTTTATTTTTGCCATGGAAAAATATATATATTTTTCTATATATATATATATATATTTTTTTTTTTTTTTTCAAAAAAATATTAATGCAGTATTTTAGTTTAATATAGAGTCTAGGCCTTCAGAAAAAAAATATTTTTTGAAGAAAATTAGCACCATCTGGTTACAGTATAGAGAAAAAGCGTAGAATCATGGTGTAACCACTAGATGGCATGTACAGCTCTCTATGGAGAGGCATGTGAATTCCCCAGCTGTTTATGAACACATTTTTTTTGTTGTTGTTGGTGGATTTGAATATATAGTTTCAATTCATTTCCTATGGTCGGTCATTTTTAAACCGAAGAGCACAAGTGTGACTATTTTTTTTACGACCACTTAGCCTGCTCGGATCATGACCTCAATTTTTTTGTGTGTTCTCATACCTAATTCCATAAAAGTCACTAAGTTTCGTAACATTCCGATGAAGCTGTGATTTTTAAAATTTCAAAACGGAAAATTTTTCGATCAGGAATGACCGAAGAGCACCAGAGGGTTAAAATGAATTACAAAATTATAAACCTAATGATTATTTTATTTTATACTGCAAGTTACACTAATAATATATAAGTATGTATGCTTAAATTCTTCATTTTTTAAAGTTAAAATTCGCAAGTTTTTATTTTGGCGGAATATTGGTGAAATGTTGTAAAGTTCTATCCAAAATAATTGTGGAGATTTGTAAATAAAGTGACCTTAGCACACATCGCTTTGCCAAAATGCATGTTAAATGTATATAATACATACAGAGATACCGTTTGTGAGAGGGCAAGGTGCTTTGATGCTGAAAACAATGTAAGCTGCATGTGTGTAGGTGAACAGTATATGCGATTATTTAATTAAATTCCTGCATTTGATCTGATAACATACTAATGTATATTTTGATTTTAGTTTTATTTTGACTAATTATGCATTTATTTATTTCGTCAAATCCCAAACACCCAACATTTCCCTCGCAATCACCCATTTGGAAAACTCTTATGAACAGCATTGTAATGCCGTCTGACTGGGATTATATGAACTCTAAACCCCCGTTCACACTACAAGTAATATCATTCATTTCAATGGGGAGCAGGCAATTTCCGGCGACATGCGCAACAGCGACCGTTGGCGACTGGATGGGGCGTGTCTGGCATGGCGTCGCAACAAAGTTGAGATCTATTTAACTTTATGCAAATGAAGAGCGACTTTTGGGAGCGATAACCAATAGGAGTGAAGTCAGTGGAGCACGTCCATCTTCAGTGCGGAGTCTGACCGAGGCAAGTTGAAGCTCTTTTTAGCAGTCAGAAACTGTCCTATAATTTATTCAGAGATATATCTCTGTGTACATACAGGGGTACTCACCGTACTGACTCCGTGCCTGAATGGTTTTGGGAACCCATGCGGACAGACCGGTATTTGCCCTTTAGCTGCAGTTAAATAGCCGCGATTAAAGAACATTTCTCATTCATCTTTAATATTATGCATTTTATGTACTGATTCCTTTTATATTTAGAATTTTCCTTCCAAAATGGCAATAAAACGTATTTGTTACAACATAAAGTAACATCCGTGAATGTCACTCACAAAGATTACTAGGCAATCAGTAGTGGGAACGCCCTCCAGCGAACTACCCGCCAGCCACTGGTAACCTGCAGCGACAAAGTCGCTTGTAGTGTGAACGCAGTTTAAAGCTTTGAGAAGCTCTCACAGAAATTCACAAACATATATACATACACACCTTCCAGAAGCGTGCACAGAAGAGGTAGAAGTCCTGGACTCTCACTTATAAGCTTCAGACCGTTCACACAGATAGTGATGTTATATAAAGCCATTAGCATCAATCTGCAAACAAAAATATAAAGTTACATACTTCAGAAAGAAGCACATACATTAAAATAAACATTATATACAATAACAACTCAATTTCTTCTAAAAAAAAACCTGCATGTGAAAGTAAAGACTATTGGGTCAATTACATAAAATGTTTTTTAAGAAATCAAGTTAAAACCTATTATTCATGACTCAAATAATGTCATGTGGTGCAACCATTATGTACAAAAAATAATTACACATTTGTTTATTATTTTTCACAAATAAATCATTTTAAGGTGCTATATGTATTTTTTGGCAGCCTCTATCAGTGATGTTTCAGATTGCAAACAATTTTTACAAGAGCGCTCGTGCTCTTGCGCGTGCTCTAACACAAGAGCGAGAACTCATGGTAAACGGCCACACAACATGCTGGAAACTCATGTAAACTCCCACTGCAATGTTACAATAAAAGGATACTTTTATCAGTTTGACGTTGAACTAATGCTCCATGCTCAACAATTTCAACAATTTCAGTGTAACAGTAAGATTGTTTGCTACTGTACTGAACGTGTCTGGAAATGTGTATTATAAACAATATGATACTAGTGGGATGAGTGACGTCAGACAGTAGATCGTAGTGGTGCAACGGATCATCACTGATCCGTGATTCGTTCGGATCAATGTCTTCGGTTCGGCACACACGTGATCCGCGGATTGATTATGAAAAAAATAATAATAATAAAACGTGCGCATGTTGTTCAGTCAACGCACAGCTTCGTCATAGCGAGCGGAGGAACGGAGAAGCTTGATCGCCCCGCGTCATTTCAGGGCTCCAGACCAGACTGCGACCAAAATTTGAGTGTGCGACTGAATTTTACATCCAGTCGCACATGTGCGACCAGTAAATTTGCCACACGTTAAACGCATGGTAAAGCGGCGCGTCAATGAATCCGTGACAAGAATAGCGTGCGTAAACGTCTGTGGGAGGGAGACGGAGACAAATATCACAACCTGATGTGCGTCTGAGCAATCAGCGATCTATCGACTCGTTAGTCGTTACCTAGCAGCGAATGCAAACAAAATGAAAGTGGAACGAAAATACGCTACTCATTTATGATTAGGACCGTGGAGCAGCAGCAGCGATCCATTGACAAAATAAAGCCCCGAACTTGCCAGTCGCGGGCCGATCTCGCTCACGCAACACTGTTACTAGGAGATCCAGTGAAGAAATCCATTGAATTCGCCTCAGAATTAATAACATCAACACCACGAGATCCAGTGAGAAACACTCCGATTCGGCGCAGGTTTCTGTTATAAACCATATCAGATCAAACAGCGCTGACGTGGAAACCAGGAGAAACACTTATAGAAGGCTTTCAGTCCACAAATCAGCCTATATATGATAATGTGTAAGAAATAGTCAAATGCTTACAAGTAGCCTACTACACATCTTTTCCCAGCACTTCAATAATATCATAAATAAATGTTTTATTTTTTTGAATTTTGTATGTGATTACCAACACATTTTTTGTTTATCCTTTAAAGATTGTCCTAAAATGAAAAAAGTACGATGATATTTTCACTACTTTTATTAATTGATATTAAGACATTATAAATGATAATAACTAAGTTAATTTCATCTACGCCCTAAATTAAGCTTAGTGATTTATTATTATTTTTTTTTTGTAGAACTCGCTGTGAGTTCCCATTTGAGGTGATGCTGCCCTCAACTTTGAGTCTGGAGCCCTGTGAAGTTAAAATAAAACAGAATATCATAATGTTAAGTCTATTTATTATTAAAGAATTTTTCAGTAGGCTATTACAGTTATTTTGGGGGAAATTTGAATAATTGCATTGCGAGCTGATTTAAGGTGTGCCCCTAAATTTTCTGCTTGCGCTCCTAAAATTTTCAGTCAGGGGCAACAGCGCTCCTAGTAAAGTTAGTCTGGAGCCCTGCATTTAAATCACCTGTATGGGACCATTTTGGATTTTCCATCAAATATAACATGAAGGAAAGAGGTTAGTAGATAAAACCGAGACATACCACTGCGGCATTTAAGCAGCCCCTAGTTGCATAATCAGACCGGGCTAAAGCTATCACAAATGCTATCGGTGTGTTTATAGCTGCAGACATGAGGCCACATTCGGTTGTGCAAAACGAGGGCTTTGAACACATACTGAAAGTACTTGAGCCACGTTACGACATGAACTGTTGTGGATGAACTATCCCGAGCATCTGTTGCGCTCACGACAGACAGGTGGACTTCTAGGGGAACGGAGCTATGTGACGATAACCGTTATCGTCACATAGCTCTCACCGCTCACAATTTAAAAGTGTTAATAATCAAAAAGACAAAACCTATGTTTATTTGTCTTGTCTTTTATTTATTTATTTTTTTTGCTGATCCGAAAAATGATCCGATCCGTGACCCTGATCCGAGAAACGATCCGATCCGTGAGTTTTTTGATCCGTTGCACCCCTAGTAGATCGAGTCCATAAAATAAAAGTTACATCCTAAAGCACCTACTTTTTGTTATCCTGGAACAGTCTTTTGTATTAATTTCATGTGTCATATATGTTAGTTTACTTTGCTATAGCCTCTATGCACGAACCCTGCTGACGCGTGTCCGAAAGAATCTCAGTCAGCGTCTTTACTTCCGGAAGTGCGTTCTGCAGGCCAAGTGTATAGAGGCAAAACTTTAATAAAAATTTTCTCATAAACGGAGACAACGATTTTAGAAACGCTGATTCACTGGTCGAATTTCGTACGATATGAGAGAATACTAACGCTCAAATTTGTTGATGTAGCTCGCAATATATATAATTTAAATAACTTCTTTTTTACTCTTGTGTGACAGCTAACTGCCTCACAGTGTTGTTAACATCATTCACGTTAACCGCAGGACGTTTTTATAAACAGCAAGTGTACAGCAATTTGACACTATCTCCACCTAACGCAAAACCGGCTTCTGACCATAGACTGACGCAGCACCGGATGTAACTGGGCGTGCTGAGACAAACCCGGAAGCGATCGTGCATAGAGGCTATTTCATTACAATTTACCAATATTTCAGCATATCTAAAAACTTGTAATTTATTACAATAAAAAAATAGCGGAGGTCTCTCCATAAGTCGATCCGATTCACGATTGGCCTGACGAGCTTCAGCAGAGACATTTTTATTTTGCTTTTTATATTTATGTGGAGTCTGTGTTGTGCTGGAGGCAGGTCGTTCTTTGGTGTTTTCAGACTCCATGTTGTCAGCTGCAGTGCCGTCCCATAGACTGTATATAAAAAGGAGAGAGGCTCGGGAGCGCGCATGCACGTCATATCCGATGGATTTCGCAGAAAATCCATCCCGGAGACTTCACATAGAAATAGGAATACTGGCCTTAAGAGGTAATAGCAAAACCCGACAATTGGATCATTGTAATATGTGATTACTACCCGGTCCGTGTAACGCTTCACAATTCAATTTTCGGACCATAAAATGCAAATGAAAAATGGAAACCAGACATTAATTTTTCTTGTTTTTCCAGTTACATTATCAATGGATAGTTGCCTTTTTCTCCATTTTTTCAATTTTACTTGTGCTAAATTGTGACTTCAGAAACAAACATTTGAAATCTAACTGATTTTTTTAATTTTTGTCTTGTAATTTGCGTCGTGGGCGGTACTATTAGCACGGGGGTGTGGACTAATTTTGGGCGTGGACTAATTTTATCATTTCATTGATGCAACTGCTTTATTTACACTGCATGCACGTTGAGGAGAAGTTTAAAAGATGGAACATATATATATATATATATATATATATATATATTAGTGCAGTAAGCCCATTTGCAAATCAGAACTTTATTTTTAATGAATAGAAATACTGAATATTATCCGAAAATGACAGTGTCAATAAAGTAAAATCAAAGTCATGTGAAATATTATTTCATACAGTAAACTATGCCAAAAAAGGTTGAAAGTAAAGCATTATCTTAAAGCAAATAATAGTGTAATAAAAAAAACCTCTTTGTGATGATCACATGTAGGCTATGGGATAGGCTAAACGCTGGAAAACCCTCTTCTATATCTAGATTTATGAAACATTATTATTCTAATGTAAAGACAAAGTTGTGTGAGATTAAAAAAAATCTCAGGACAGGTTATTCACTTTTGGAGGCTGGCTCCATTTATCATCAAAACAAAAATAAATGACAGATAAGGTGGATAGGGCGAGGGTGCGCCTTGCTCCGATGCGGGACAACAGGCCATCAAACTGGGCGCGGGACAGCCGGAAGACCCGCTGAAAGCGGCCGTCATGCAGATCCCGGAGCGAGCAAATAGTGAAACCCGCCAAACTGTGAACGCCTCCGGGTGTGGTGGACGCAAGTACGGCGACAACGATCGATCCCTACGCCGCTGTCACACAGTCTATGGCCGCTTTCAGCTCTACAGAGTAAATACAGAGCGGTAAAGCCTGTTTTACTCTCTCGATGAATCATCAACACAACCAAGAAGCATATTTCGCCCATAGACTGTAAAAAATAGATTCGCCTCAGATTCGCTACATGGACGAGTAAAATACTGGCAACAAATTTTAATGGAAAATGGCTTGATATTGTTAGAATGTGGCTATTTTTTACAGCAAGGGTTAACAGTGCAGTTATTATCAATAAAACTGTCACTAAGGGTGAAAAATGTCGTCCTGTGTGTTACACATGCATGCAGTGTAAATAAAGCAGTTGCATCAATGAAATGATAGTAAAGTTAGTCCATGGCCACGCCCCCGTGCTAATGGTACCGCCCATGGTGCAAATTACAAGACGAAAATAAAAAAAATCAGTTAGATTTCATTTATTCAAATGTTTGTTTCTGAAGTAACAATTTAGCACAAGTAAAATTGAAAAAAATTGAGAAAAAGGCAAGAATCCTTTGATCATGTAACTAGAAAAACAAGAAAAATGAATGTCTGGTTTCCATTTTTCATTTGCATTTTATGGTCCGAAAATTGAATTGTGAAGCGTTACACGGACCCAACCCCTTCACACACAGGCAATAAAAAATTGGATTCATTTTAGACGAAAAGTTACATATAGCACCTTTAAATCACAAATATCAAATATGTGTACTTTTAAGTTGTGACATACACTTTGAGTTTTGGAAATACTCCTGGTTTCATTAGCCCCAGTAGCCGCATCAGAGTAACCAATAGGATGTGGGCAGAAGAGGACAGGAAGTCTCGTCCACAAGACACAGCAGCTACATCTAAAAGAAGTGAATAGAATTACCATTTCACATGTTCTTGAGATGGTGATAATAAGTCATGACCATTAGATGGAACTAATATTTAAAACAAACTCAGCGCCCTCACTGGTAACAACGCCAGCTAGTGCCAGAGCGAAATGATGCTCATGCGAGTTGTAACTCTCTTGCGGCTTTGCATCGTCCTCCAGAAACTTGATGAACGACTCCAAGGTTTGACTTGCTATGCTCAGGAAGGGCTCCAGTTTACCCTGTGGACACACACATACAGAGTAAACCTACTCGGTTGAGGTAAAACAAATGTATTTTTCTTCTTTTTTTTTTGAACCCGGGTTTCACTTAAACTGGAAGTCACCACTTAATAGTGTCCACCCTCAAATGGTACAGACTTACATCAGCCAATATGTCTTTGATAGCTTCCTCCCTTTGAGATGCACTCCAGAGCAGGGTGCAAGACGCAGAGCCCAGCTCAGTGCAAAAGTCTTTCTGTTGCTGCAGCTGCTCTCTGCACTCCCATAACTGCTGCTTTAGAACCAGCTTCTCCTACAAACATAAGAGATACTTGCATAACAACCGTCTTGACTCCTAGGCCCTTATATTAATTGCCAATGATAATAATTAAAGGTTCCCAAAATATTTCTGGTACATTTTTAAACTTTTGGCAATATATGACAAAATAATATATTCAAATGTGTATATTAATATGATTAAAAATAATTCATAAAGATAATTGAACTAAACTGCATCAATTTCTACCTGATAAGATATTTTAGAGCTTGACATGTATATTGGTTAGGGTTTCCAATTCCAGTTGTTCATCTAAAATATTTTTTTTTGTTTATACTAATTTTAAAGCTTATTTTGTCTTATTTTAAATAATATGAGCAGATGCTTTCTTAGAATCTTACTATAGACCATTTTGCAAGATGTAAACAACACTGGTCCAGAAACACTTCCTGTTTCAGTTTGTAACTGTTTTCTTTATTTCACATGTAAAGAAAAAATCTTAAAGATGTTTGTTTAACTTTTTGATATAGTTTTATATGTTCTGTTGGTTGTATTTTATCCCAGCTTTTATGTAGTGTTCAAAAACTGAAACAGGAAGTGCTTCTGGACCAGTTTTGTTTACATCTTGCAAAATGGTCTATAAATCATGATGTTTCTTTTCAGTGTGGTATTTTCTTTACTCCTCTGGACTGGTACCTGTTGGTACCTGTTTCTATCTGGTACCTGTTGGTACCTGTTTCTATTTTTACCTGTTGCTATTTTGGTACCTGTTTCTCTCTTTGACAGTCGCTCAGTGCAGCATCTAGTCTGGAACGGATGTGCAGACAATCGTCTCTCTGTTGCTGCTGCTCACGTTCACTGCGTTCTTTAACTATATAACAATAAATCATTTTTTAAAAAGTCAACGGTAAGAATTAACAGATTAAGCTTCACCATTCAGTGTTGTTACAAATGCTGTCATACAGGGTTGTGCACCATTCAGAACCAAATTGAGACGGTCTTTTAAATTTTGATTCAGTTTCAGAATTTGTCCTGAATTTAAATTGATCTAGGGAACAGGATGCTAAATTGCAATTTGAATTCAGGTAGTAGAAATGAATGGAATAACTGGTACTGTTAACTAGAAGAGTTTGCCTGTGCAACGACAAACTTTGATTGTTGGGCTTTAAAGGGACACTTCACCCATTTGCATTAAGCTTTGTATCTTTAGAAACCCAGTCATATTTTTGAATGGTCATGGTTTATTCCCTTATTTTCCCCTAAGATGGGAGAAATAGGGATTTAAGTGTTTTACTTCCTGCTTATTATGACGTAAAAATAGTAATTTTGCGTCATAATAAGCAGGAAGTCACATTTCATTGAAAAGTGTAGAGACAAACTTTAGCTTCTCATTATTCAAGGGTTTGGGACCCACTCACCCTACAGGCATCGCGATGCGGACGTGGACGATTCTGAAATGATTCACAAATGTCAAAAAATCGATTCCTGTTGATTCTTTGCAATGTTAATAAAATATGTTGTACGTTAATTCTTTATGAGTCATTACTTTGTACTTTTAAAGCAAGTATTTATAGTCACACACACACACACACACACACACACACACACACACACACACACAAGATTCAAATAATCGATTTGTAATGTCTTCACTGTAAATTTTGATCCACTTAATTTATCCTTGATGAATAAAAGTATAGATTTATTTTTAGTATAGATTTCTTTCGCCCAAAAAATTAAATAAAAATTCTTACCGACTACAAACTTTTGAACAATAGTGTTTAATGTTACAAAAGCTTTATATTTCAGATAAATGCTGTTCTTTTGAATTTCTAGGTGATTTTCTGAATTGGGTGCCCTTCAAGTCCCCCAAACATGCTTCAAAGATTTTCAATTGAAGGAAATCACAAAATGCATTTTAATGCTGTCAATTAATAGAACCAGGTGCCTTTGCATTATAATGCAACAATTGCTTTTGAAAAAAAAATTAAAATTACATTTAATTTAAAGATGAGTTGCCTAAGTAGTAGTCAACAAGCATGTTTACATGTCCTCACTAACCATCATTACATTTTCATAGAATATCAAACAAATAAAAAGTGCAATTGATTCCAAAATGCTGCTGTTAATATAATCATATGTTGGTCTAGTGTATTTTCGTTTACTGTTGTGAAATGGAAAATCAATAATTGTTAATCGAGAATCGTTAAAAATCAACTGTAATCGAATCGGGACTTCAATAATCGTAATCGAATCGAATCGGGAAATCAGACAGATTAACCACCCCTAATATCGAAGAGGATTTTGAAATTCTGCTGCTCGAATCCGATGTTCGTGGCTATCTTTACGAGCTGCAGTATAGTGAAGAGCAGCTGAGGCTGATGGAGGAACCGGAGGCGGCTGCCTGTCGCGGTCGAGTAGCCCGGACTGGCTCAAGCTGGGCGGACTGCTGGTGCCTGTGCTCTCGCGGACAAAGATGAAGTCCGTCTGCTGCAGAGAATTTCAACGATGGCCATTTCTCCAAGACGAAATCTCTGAATCTGATGAGCACACGTTTGTGTTGTGATGTGAACCATCCTAGTTTCGCCTGACTGAACATCCAGGTATCATGCAGTAACTCACCATATAGAAAGAAATACAAACGAGGAGTAATTCACTAATGAGTTTGCCAATGTAACGTTAACGGGGTTCATTGTTGTTGGAAGAAGGAGGCGGGAATCGGCGAATATTTAAACATTTTAATAGTAAAATGAACAAACGAAAGTATAAGCCAGCAGCCCCTCATTAATGACTGCTGTCCACACACAACAGAAACAAAACAGATCATAAAATCAGGCCTGTTTCTCTCTCCATCTGCCATCATTGCTCCTCCGTGAGAGATGGTGTCTTTTATTATCACTCACGCCACCGGCCTCACGTCGTCCTCTCACATCCCTCGCCCAGTCGCCCTTGTCCTGCTCGCCACAGCCAACTAACTACAAATTTTGTGTGAAATTAATTTGCAAACTCTGGTGACAGCTAACATTAGCCTTTTAGATGTGATTTCTCTGTGGGTGTGTGGGTGTGGCTGTGGCTATTAGTGGGTGTGGCTTGCGGAGCTGTGCAATGTGGTGCATTGTGGAAGTTGTTGTCTTACATACAAATGCACACTTCAGTTATTTTTTGTCTTTTCTCAGTCAAGAGGGCACCAAATTCAAAAATTATTTTACATTTCAACTACATATATGATCCACTTTCAATAAAGATTAATGTTGAAATGGGTGAAGTGCTCTATGTTTTTAACAAGCTATATTGAACAAGTGACAATTATTGTATAAGTACTGTAACTTTTGAAAATACTGTAACTTATTCACAGCAGCTTTGTTAACGGGAATGAAAGTGATACTGTGAGGGACTGTGGATTGTACAGTAATTTAATGAGTTTTTGCATTGTTCTCCTGACAATGTGTCAGTAGACAAAAAAAAAAAAAAAATCAGACAACATGAGATGTGGAAAGAGAGTGTATAAGAGATCTAGGAGTTTTTTTTAGAGCAGATGCCATTGAAAACAGCATAGCTTTCGGACATGTCATGGCACTGCTCTGAATGAGGTCTATAGTGGAAAAATGCTTTATTTTTTCAGAATGCATTAACCGGGGTGGTTTCTTTTAAATTGCAGTAGATTCCCCTTCCCGTTATTCCAATTAAAATTTCAATTCAACGTCCTCTGAAGTATTGACCAGTTTAATTCAAATTCCAGCTCTTGAGTTAAAGGTACAATATGCAGGATTTTTGCAGTGAAATATCCAAAAACCACTAGGCCAATGTTATATATTTTGTTTAGTCGATTACTTACTGTAACGGTAACCAGCTGGAGTGCCCTTTTGAGCCAGCAGAGGGCACTCCAGATAAGACTATTATCACTCACAAACTACATTTCCCAGAACTCACTGCCCGGACTCATCATCACTGATCACATTCACCTGTACATCATTCATTGATTGCGTTCACCTGTGTCTCATCCTGTTCAGACTGATCTCATGAAGTAGCGTGTGTATGACACGCCAATTCGTATTTCCAATTTTTGGCGTGCTATCAAGACGCATAATCGCCTTTCAGCGTGTTTATGAACGCCGTTGACTTAACGTTATATAAATATATGACTTACCTCAACCCCGTCCCTAAACCTAACCGTCACTGGGGTTAATGGCATTTATGACTGTTCCCTTACCATCCAAGGTAAAAAAAAGATATGACTTACCTCAACCCCATCCCTAAACTTAACCGTCACTGGGGTTAATGGCATTTATGACTGGAGATTTGACTGCGTGTTCAGACACGCGGAATGACGCGGACGTTAATGGCGTAGACATATACGCATACACGCGGATACACGCAGATAGCACAAAATGTGTGGAGATAACACGCCACCTGACTCGAAAGTGGCGCATATGTTTACGCAAAAGTCATGATGTCATGTTGTCCTGTTAGTATGTCTATAAATACCTTGTGTTCACATTCACTGTTGGCGAAGTCTTGTTGTACCGTGTGTCTGCATTTCTGAGCAGTTTTCGTGTTTGTTTTCTGGTTTTTGATTTTGGATTGTTCTTGGACTCTGATTATTGCTGCCTGCCCTGACCTCTGCCTGTTTCCCTTTGTTTATTCTCCATTGTCCTGTCTGCCGATTCTCGACCCTGCCTGTATGACTATTCTTAATAAAGCTGCATTTGGATCTACATCTACAAGCCTCAGAGCAGTTCATGACAGAAGACTTCGCCGCTTCAGATCCAGCAGCCGAGAAGATTTCGTACCCCAAGATCCCGGAACCATGCCACGCCTGTGCCCAGACGCTCAGATCCTGTGTCTTCGTCAAGGAGATCATCCAATCGAGGACTATGTAAGAGACTTTCTAGAGCTGGCTTATCTCTCACGTATGGACGATTTGTGTTTAATGATCTTTTTCCGAGGAGGACTCTCTGAACCGCTCAGTTCACTCATGCCCTTACACAATTGTCACGGGACATTAGAGGACTATATTAACCAGAGTATGTGAGCGGAGTGGAGTGGGAGCGGAGCGAGGAGTGGAGCGGCATGATTTTGAATGGAGCGCGAAGCGGATTTTTTAAAAGTCGGAGCGTCGTGGTTTTCACTCGCTCCGAGCGCGCTCCACTACCGCTCTATCACGAGGACAATTCATACCAACGGCTCATTATAGAACTGCATTTTTTCACGTGTTAAAACACATTACGCTAGCATGATACAGATGGATCACTCAAATCAGAAAAAAATGTGAAGGTTTGATGACGCCGATGGACATGAGTGGCTGCGGGAGGTTATAGTTATCAAGCCTGTACTAAATATGCAACACGATCTCATGAAAGTGCGAAACTATTTATTTCTCGTGCCAATTATATGCCAAAAAATTGTTTTTGCGTGCAAATGAAGCACACTAAATCCCTTGGTTAGGATGGGTGTGAAGTGCGTTCTTGCCATTAAGTGCGTATCGTAGGCTATGCACACGAGAAATAAAATATGTGCTATAGCCTACGCACTTTCATGAGATCGGGCTGGATCGGGTGAAAGCACATTTTAAACAGGCAACACTTATTCACCAAAGCAATCGCTTTCTCACTAATGCATTGCATTCAAACAAATGTAATCATACAGTAGGCTATCTGTCAGTATTTGATTTTAAATGAGCATGAATCTGTAAGAAATGTAGCGACCCGTAAATAAATAACTGATGAAAACGTAGTTATTTTCTTCTTTCCAAACAAAATGTGCTCTGCAAAAAGCAGCAATGATATTTAATTTATAATGCTGATAACCTTTAATAAGCATATCATGTCATAGGAAAAGTTTGCACACTATCCAAATCCAATAAACAACATT